ATGCTTGATTAATTCGTTTTTATAAATTTCACGATCATGTTAACTTGCTGTTGCGTTGCGAACACCGCTCTCCATTGCGCACCATTACACGCCCGAGCTCTCTCGGCGTCCCCTGATCTCACACGGTGGCTGGTGTGGTCGCCGGTTTTCCAGTCACTGTCTACTATTTCTGGGTCTCGGTCGGGCCCCGCCACACGCTCCGTCGCTCTACCCAGCCTCCGCAATCGCACTCAGTGTGCCGGCCCCGGCGCTCTGCCCGTCGTCTTTGTCACCCTTCGGTCCGGCGGCCACTCGGCAGAATGATCCATTCCGGGCGCCCGGCCACGATAATCTAAATGACCTTTCTGTTGAACAAGCTTTAAATCTTCGTCTTTAAATCTGAACTGCTTCCCTCCCTTATCCGAATTATCCCGGAGGCTGGAACTTTCACCAAACGAGTGTCCATTTTGCTTATTACATTTGGTTTTTGCCGCGGGGACACGGCAGTAAATTTCTCGGGCGTTTTCGGATTAAACTCATTTCATTGTATCCATTACTGAGATTGAGTGGGGCGACTTACGGCGATAAACCAGGGCAAACGTCACGCCGTAAATATGACACTCGCAAATGATAAAGAAGTCCGGACATTCTGGGCGTCGCATGTGTCTGATCAGGCCTCTGACACGGCCCAGATCGGCCCCGAGTTTTGTCGGGGCGCGAAGCCGGACCTCCGCTGGTGAGTGCTGACTGAGTGCCGCCTCAGAGTGCCACCGACGCCACCAAAGGGTCGCCGGCGCTGGCAACGGACGACGGTGATTTTGGACCGCGCAGGGTGGACATTAGACTGAGTTTTTCAGACGCGAATTCTGATTGGGCGGCGCTTTTATGAAGGGGTTGCGGTATACTATGAAATGACATATAATATAAGTAAGATGAAACGGTGGACTGAGAAGACGTGTGGCAAAGAGACGAGTCATGTTATCGCTTACACACATTGAAGCAATCAAAGGGTAATTCATTTGCTTTCCTCTTAGATTGCTTGCATGCAAAAATTTAACTCACACATTAACAGTTTGTGCACTACGAATAGGTGTCACAGGCTAAATAAAACTCATTTCTTCAAGTAACAAATCTTTAGAAATGCTAATGTCGTTTGTCACAGTTGATAGAAACTTTCTTTCAATGCTCTATCTCCTCCCATTCCGGGCAAATACCGATGTAGCGGGTTTGTCGGGCGACCACCATAGGCGGCGGAACGGGGAGGGCACCGGGGCACCGTGCCCCCTTTGATTTGGGATTTTAACATTAGCCCTATGGGCGTTGCATGGAAAGAATGGGACCAAAAGTCGGCAGTGCCCCCCGTTTCATTAACCCGCGCCCTGGTGTGGGTCTGAGCCACCTTCGCCCTGGTGGGGGGGGGCCAAAATGACCCCCCCCGTCTAACTCGAAAACGAAGAGGGCTAGGAAGACGCGGAAAAAAGCAAACGAAAGCCCATAACAAGTACGTTCGAAAGTATTTCGGTCATTTTTTCGCTAAGGTCAATATTGAGGTCGCTAGAGGTCATCATAGGTCAAATTTCAGTGTTTTCGGTGTTGCCGGACATATTCCGCTGTAGCTCGGAAACTAGAAGAGCTAGAGAGCCGCGGAAAAAAGCAATCGATAGCTCTTTTCAAGCTCTTTCGCCAAGGTTCGTCAGATTTGACCTCAGCTCAACGGTTTGGCCTACAGAGGTCATGCAAGGTCAACTTGGCAAATTTCGTTGAAAATGTTTTTAACTATAGCATGCATTCACGAGAAAATAGAGAAACGATTCATGCACCATCGTGCTTGGCTCGTCGAGACGCGTCGAATGATATATAGTTTGACCTCGAAAGGTCATTTTGAAAATTTGACCTCAGGTCAAGGTCATGACCTTACCGAAATAGGTCATGCTGCATATCATTCGATCCGCATTGACGAGACAAACACGATAAACGTCGAACGGAGTCTCTATCTCTATTCAATAACAAGTAAGTGCAGAAAAACCGCTGGTGACCTCTGGTGACCAGGGAGATGACCTAGCGTGACCTCAGCGAGGTCACAAGCAAATGGTTTCACATGGGCTGTGATTTGCTGACCCAAGACACTTCAATAACGAAATATAGGAACAATCACGCCCGATTTAGCTGAAAAACAACTACTTTTCGATTCTCCCATTGACTTATAATGGGGAGCAGCGATGACCTGACCTGACCTTAGGTCACATTTATAAAAAATCCGAGATAGCCATTTTGTAGAGCTGGGTGACATCTTCAAGTACTGTAAATTTTACATCGATCGGATAAAAGCTGTGCCTTTGAGAGAGCTTTGAACTTTTTTAGAGGTGGTGTCAGTTTTGGTGACCTTGTGACCTGACCTGACCTGACCCGAACCCCCAAAAAAAGGACATGATGTAAAAATGTTGAATAAACAGCTATACAAAGTTTCAGGGCGCTAACTCAAGTGGTTTCTGAGTTATCGCTGAAAAACCACAGGGGGGGGGCCAAAATGGCCCCCCCCCCCCCACCAGGGCGAAGGTTAAAGGTGTTCCGCCGCTACTGACGACCAGTACAACAATTATTGCTTGTTTTCAAAGAGATGCTTACCTTTGGCGACTTATCTCTCAATGGCACTGGAGTTGTGCTTGAGATGCCACCAAACAAAGCAATGACATTCATTTCAATCAGCGGGTTAAATGATGCCGCAGGACTGTGTAGCTGTGTCTAATCACTTTGCCAATAATTGGGAAACCGGACCTTTGCAAAACTTTAATGACTTTGCGAAGAGTTTCCTTCTACATAAAGCTCGTTGACGTGCTGTATTCAAAGCAACCCAGTCTACCTCGACGTACGATGTTGTGTTGAGAGCGCTTGATAATTATTGTGTCGTCAGGCGGAGAACTCTCTACAGCGTGTCTCGACGTTGATCATTGATCATTGTTTTGTTAAACGCACAAAGCTATTGTCACTTCGCCTATTTAGTTGAACAATGTGCAGCCAGATTTTGTGGTAAGGTAAGAGCTATCTTCCTGAAGTAGGTTCAGATTATAGGAAACCAATACTGTGTGGGTTTTGTAGTCATTTTCATCAACTGTGTAAGTGGCTATACTAATCAATGATGAAGAATAGGTCAAGTAATCTATGGAGTCGCCTACGTGATTAATCGCTCAAATTAATACAAGATTACGCTTTGGTGCTATTTCATCGCTCGTGATCTCAGACGTTTTGAGCTCATTTCGTAACGTTAACAAAATCATGATAGTTCGATCGCACTAAAGAAGTTCAAGATCAACCAAACCATTTTAGTTCACATGCAAGCAATTTATTGGTGTGGGAAAATTGCTCCCAGTTTCACAACACAAATTGTTCAGCTGTTAACACCAATCAAGATCAAATCCTCAAAGAAAGCGGAAAACTTCGAATCCTTTGCGAATGTGGATAGTTTCCATTAACTATTCACGTTAACGGCTAAAAATCCAATTGCAGGGCGGACGTATATTTTCAGATTAGCTCCACCCACGTGCATTATACATAGCGAGGGCAGGTCTAATGGCTGACGCGGAACCATTAACTGGTTAACTCGTTCAACAGTTTCCAGCTGATTGAACTGTTTGGAACAAAAATGTCCGATATTGGCTGCATTTCCACGCATTAATTGTCAGACGATGAATTCGTTCATAAGTCACCCAGAAGTTGCCCTTTGTGACGTTGCACATTTGTGTATCACATAGCTAGTAAAATGATAGATCTCATATTGAAAAAGCGACGCAGCGACCAATAATGTTCTCCTTCATAATTGACTTTCATTCGTTCAAAAGTTCGATAAAGCCAGGCAATATGCAATAGAGGCATTGGGGAGGTTGAGATTGCGCACTCTGCAGTCTGGCCGAAGCACCTCCTGTCCTGCTGTCGGAGCTCAGTCATAAACGGATAAGAAAACGGGCCATGCATTCCCTGTTCATCTAAACGTGCCCCGTACTTATTCTGTAACCAAAACGACACACAAAAGAGCAGAAACCTACTGCGTGCGATTTCTCCCAAAACATCGTTGATGCTCGACTGTAGGGGAAGTTGGGGCAATGCCGGAGTTGGGGCAAAGCCGAAATTCGAGATATTTCTAAAACCGTACGACATGGATGCCACGTCTCAGTGATGCTCTGAAGCTTAAGTGACTACAATTATCGCATGTTTGTTACGGGCTGTCATTTGGAATACTTCGGCTGTGAGGGCGCCAAAAGCGTTTTCAAGGTACGTTTCCCTTGTACTACATGCGCCTTTGAAGCTGCATTTCTTACTCATTATGCTACCGTTTGTCTGGCCAATTCGGTCAAGTAATCTTCAGCATGTCTTTGCATAAGTGTGCTGCCTATCTGAAATTTATACAGCACGTTTAAAAGTTATGGGCCTGCAAATGAAAGTATGGCTGGCTGGGGTAATGCCGAAAACGTGCAATTACGCACGTTAAAGCACGCTACGTGGACTTTACTGCTGTAGAATAGCAACGCGTATTTTTAGTCAAACAAATTACACTTTCAGCCGGCACAACGGCCTGTTACCTATAAGGAATGATTTACCTAGCATTTTTTTTATTATATCACACAATTATAACTTCCAGTGTGCACCAAGCGTCCTCAAGCTCTTAAAACGCGTGTCAGCTTTGATGAATTTTGGATAAAGTTTGAGATAAATTGGCAAAACATCAATGTCTGCATTCCTCGTAGATCATTTATCCCATTTTCGGCTTTCCCCGCAGTCCGGGGCAACGCCGAAAAAGTCAGTTCTTTGATATTTTTAGTTTTTGCGCTTAACGGTATGCGAATTCATCAAATGCGCCTGGTATGTTTGAAAGACAAAAGACTGGCCTCTCGAATGACGCCAACAAGAATAGCTTATGTTGTCTACCTTGCGTGCTACGGGCGTCAGAAAAAAAGTATTCGGCGTTCCCCCAACTTCCCCTACAGAATGCCTTGTGACTTTCCTTTTCTAATGCACCTGTTTTTCAGGCTGGTCTCTATTTTTGGAGAGTTTATTGAAGGCCGGAGGCTCCAAGACACCTCAAGTCCAAGACAACTAATGCGAATATGACGAATCAACAAGGTATGCCCAGAAATGTATGAGATAGATACAAATATGATTATTCGTTCCGCTAGATATTGTAAAACCATCTGCATGTCACAGGTCAGTTTTGACTTTTGAGTCAGGTCAGCTTACCGACATAAGATAAAAATTGAAGTGTTAGATTTGATTCGTTAAAGTGACCTGAGTCTTCCCCATCTATTACAAGATTGCATAGTTCGATAAAGGCAATATGTAATACACTTTTGAATTTTGTGGAGCATAAACGACCACTTTTTATAAAGATAGGTATTCTATCGCACATTGCTCTCGTCCATTTGAGTCTCTTCAGTTGTGTCACGTTGGTTTGATGCCTAGTATGTATGCGCAACTCTTCTGGTTTGAAAGCTTAACATTTTCTCTGTTTCGCCCTTCTTATTCCACATGTGTTTTTCATGACAACTTCATTAATTAACTAGCCCGAGGCATTTCCAGCATATTGCCCAATCATCCGTGAATGGCTACCAGTCCCTACCTTGTTCTTTATAGCTACCGATACCGCCTTTCTGTTGTCATTATTCATCTCGCCGCTACTGGCAGCTGAATGCAGATCCGATCTTCTGTCCGCGGTCGGTTACAACAAACGCCCCATAGCGCTGCGATCCTCTATCCGTCGGCTCGCGCGCGTCGGCGGCGGCGGCGGCGGCGTAGGCACGCGCGCGAGCGGCGTCCAAGCGTGCACCATTGTTTGTGTGATCGGCTCGCTCACCCGCTCGGCGGCGCGCCCGCTCGCTCGTTCGGCGGCTCACCCGCCACCGCTTATCTGCCGTACGCTTCATCTCACCGCGCCGCACATCAATTTCAATATTCACCGTAGCGCTCCGGTCGATGACGTCATGGGGAGGGGAGGGGACGGGAGCAATGGGTCGCGAAGGCGGCAGCGTGAGGATCGCGGGGAGCCGTAAACGGGTGGGGTCTGACTGATGGGGTGAGCAGGGTCAGATGGGAAGGAAGCGGTGGTCAGCCAGCCACAAGTAATTTATGCGCAGTGATTTACATTCTGTTCCGCGATGTTTCTTGTGCAATCAAAGACCGGTATTATACTCGCAACGATTAATTATCAATAAATAACACTGTTCTCAAGCAAAACACAGACGCCTTTGGTATTTGAAATAATGGCTGTGTGCTAAAGCAAATAAAGTAATTCCTGATGTTTCAGAGGGAGCAACTCTCGGCCTGCCTTCGAAGCGAGAGGAGATGGCAGGCGCTCAGACGGGACGCCAAAACTGCGCTGGCTGCGGCAAACCCATCAGCGACAGGTCAGACCAATCGCATGACCAATTAATGACCGTAAGGCGTAAACCAATGAAAGATCGGGAGACCTTTACGGTGGGCAGGGGACGCTTGTGGGGACTGGCGATACTGTCTCGGGGAGCATGCTTGCCATAATTTATTGCCTCATTACTGATGTGTTTACCAACGAAAAAACACGCTTCAGTGAGATAACAGTTATGCTCTGTCCAGAATGTCATGTACCACACTGTATTGCACCAGTTCTGCACCCCGATTGTGTCTGGCTTCAGGTATATGCTGCGCGCGCTGGACCTCCTCTGGCACGAGGACTGTTTGAAGTGCGGCTGCTGCGACTGCCGACTGGGGGAGGTCGGCTCGTCGCTCTACACAAAGGCCAACCTGATACTCTGCAAACGCGACTACCTCAGGTGAGTCTGATAGAGGTGGAAGACTATCCGGGGGCCACACCTCAGGTGAGCCTAGGTAGAGCCATAGAGAATTATACCGGGTCTAAACGTCAAGTGAGCCTACACAGAGCCATATGGGACTATCCCTGAGTCAAGCGTCAGGCGAGCCTCGATGGATTTTTTTTACGGTGGCGATTGGTTGTAACAATTATTTGGCAATCTATACAGTTTTGCAGTCGTATGCTGCATCAACCTCTAATATGAAACTCTATTTTGATTATAGTTTGGAAACATGAATTGTTTTGCGCATAACTAATGTATGGCAAAAATTGAACGCCTTCGTTCTCAACGCACTTGTAACGGAAACGCTTGATTCTATGCAGTATGTAGTGAGTGACATTTTCGGCATCCTTTTTCTTCCACAAGTCAAGAACGTTGCATTAGGAATAAAGTACATAAATCACTCCCCATTACGCTATCAGTCAGGGAGGGCAGCACCGTCATCGTTCTCCAACTAAACGTCGCATGAGTTGCAGGTGGACCTAATCGGCTCATTGGTAACTGGAAGCAATAAGATCTTGGCAATGGTGCACAGCGTAGCCCGTCTATTTCTCCTAGTAGCACAAGACTGCCCCAGGTCGCTATCCACGCCCCCCGGCGGCTTTTGTCGTGATTCCGACGGGCCCTCACGGACCCACACTTTATCGGTGTCATCACGATTTAAATTCGGATACCGGTCACTAATCCACAGTGGCGGCCCAGCCCTTTGTGCTGCTGCGGCGACTAAATTGTCCCATCCATTTCAGACCATTGGTGCCGCAAATACGGCAATTTATGTTTTCTCGCTGCTGGTGAGATCCGAGCAGATGGCATGTAACGGAAGTTAGCAGGGATTCAGCAGGGGTTCAGCAGGGATTCAGCAGGGATCGACGGCCCCTACGATTTCGCTGAATTTTGGTGGAGAGGTGCAGAATGGTGTCCTCTATCGAAAATCCTAGTGCCAAAATGCGGGGAATCCATCAGGGGGGCCACAAATCCCAAAAAACAGTATGCCCTCAGGGCACAATCGACGAACTTTGAAAACCCTACTTCTAGCCGTCAAAACAGCTAAAAATGCACGTCATTCGAAAGAGGACAAAATTTTACGTGCAACGGTACCAAATTTAGGGGGCTAGCGCCCCCCTGAACCGAACAAAACAGCTTCAAATATATGGGCCCGGGAGTATGCCCTCGGGGCATAAATAAACGTTTTCAACAATTTCAGGCCTATAACATCGACAAAATCCAGCAATATGCACATCATTGGAAAGAGCGTAATTTCCCAAACAAAAAACCCAAGTAACATTTTTCGATGGGGCCCACCTGGGGCCCACGGGACCCAATTGAAATTTGGGGCCGAATGGGGCGGCCCCTACGATTTTCTTCAAAATTTGCACAGACACTCTCCTGGGCCCCCTCTTCAATCTGGCTGAAGAAACCTACCGGGGAATCCAAAGGAAGGGGCCCAAAGAGGGCCCCACAGAGGCCCTTTCTAAGTATTGCCCCTAATTTCGCGACGGACCCCGGCAATATGCACATCATTGGAAAGAGCGTAATTTCCCAAACAAAAAACCCAAGTAACATTTTTCGGTGGGGCCCACCTGGGGCCCACGGGACCCAATTGAAATTTGGGGCCCAATGGGGCGGCCCCTACGATTTTCTTCAAAATTTGCACAGACACTCTCCTGGGCCCCCTCTTCAATCTGGCTGAAGAAACCTACCGGGGAATCCAAAGGAAGGGGCCCAAAGAGGGCCCCAAAGAGGCCCTTTCTAAGTATTGCCCCTAATTTCGCGACCGACCCCGGCAATATGCACATCATTGGAAAGAGCGTAATTTCCCAAACAAAAAACCCAAGTAACATTTTTCGATGGGGCCCACCTGGGGCCCAAGGGACCCAATTGAAATTTGGGGCCCAATGGGGCGGCCCCTACGATTTTCTTCAAAATTTGCACAGACACTCTCCTGGGCCCCCTCTTCAATCTGGCTGAAGAAACCTACCGGGGAATCCAAAGGAAGGGGCCCAAAGAGGGCCCCAAAGAGGCCCTTTCTAAGTATTGCCCCTAATCTCGCGACCAACCCCGGCAATATGCACATCATTGGAAAGAGCGTAATTTCCCAAACAAAAAACCCAATTAACATTTTTCGATGGGGCCCACCTGGGGCCCACGGGACCCAATTGAAATTTGGGGCCCAATGGGGCGGCCCCTACGATTTTCTTCAAAATTTGCACAGACACTCTCCTGGGCCCCCTCTTCAATCTGGCTGAAGAAACCTACCGGGGAATCCAAAGGAAGGGGCCCAAAGAGGGCCCCAAAGAGGCCCTTTCTAAGTATTGCCCCTAATTTCGCGACCGACCCCGGCAATATGCACATCATTGGAAAGAACGTAATTTCCCAAACAAAAAACCCAAGTAACATTTTTCGATGGGGCCCACCTGGGGCCCACGGGACCCAATTGAAATTTGGGGCCCAATGGGGCGGCCCCTACGATTTTCTTCAAAATTTGCACAGACACTCTCCTGGGCCCCCTCTTCAATCTGGCTGAAGAAACCTACCGGGGAATCCAAAGGAAGGGGCCCAAAGAGGGCCCCAAAGAGGCCCTTTCTAAGTATTGCCCCTAATTTCGCGACCAACCCCGGCAATATGCACATCATTGGAAAGAGCGTAATTTCCCAAACAAAAAACCCAAGTAACATTTTTCGATGGGGCCCACCTGGAGCCCACGGGACCCAATTAAATTTGGGGCCCAATCGGGCGGCCCCTACGATTTTCTTCAAAATTTGCACAGACACTCTCCTGGGCCCCCTCTTCAATCTGGCTGAAGAAACCTACCGGGGAATCCAAAGGAAGGGGCCCAAAGAGGGCCCCAAAGAGGCCCTTTCTAAGTATTGCCCCTAATTTCGCGACCGACCCCGGCAATATGCACATCATTGGAAAGAGCGTAATTTCCCAAACAAAAAACCCAAGTATCATTTTTCGATGGGGCCCAACTGGGGCCCACGGGACCCAATTGAAATTTGGGGCCCAATGGGGCGGCCCCTACGATTTTCTTCAAAATTTGCACAGACACTCTCCTGGGCCCCCTCTTCAATCTGGCTGAAGAAACCTACCGGGGAATCCAAAGGAAGGGGCCCAAAGAGGGCCCCAAAGAGGCCCTTTCTAAGTATTGCCCCTAATTTCGCGACCGCCCCGGCAATATGCACATCATTGGAAAGAGCGTAATTTCCCAAACAAAAAACCCAAGTAACATTATTCGATGGGGCCCACCTGGGGCCCACGGGACCCAATTGAAATTTGGGGCCCAATGGGGCGGCCCCTACGATTTTCTTCAAAATTTGCACAGACACTCTCCTGGGCCCCCTCTTCAATCTGGCTGAAGAAACCTACCGGGGAATCCAAAGGAAGGGGCCCAAAGAGGGCCCCAAAGAGGCCCTTTCTAAGTATTGCCCCTAATTTCGCGACCAACCCCGGCAATATGCACATCATTGGAAAGAGCGTAATTTCCCAAACAAAAAACCCAAGTAACATTTTTCGATGGGGCCCATCTGGGGCCCACGGGACCCAATTGAAATTTGGGGCACGATGGGGCGGCCCCTACGATTTTCTTCAAAATTTGCACAGACACTCTCCTGGGCCCCCTCTTCAATCTGGCTGAAGAAACCTACCGGGGAATCCAAAGGAAGGGGCCCAAAGAGGGCCCCAAAGAGGCCCTTTCTAAGTATTGCCCCTAATTTCGCGACCGACCCCGGCAATATGCACATCATTGGAAAGAGCGTAATTTCCCAAACAAAAAACCCAAGTATCATTTTTCGATGGGGCCCACCTGGAGCCCACGGGACCCAATTGAAATTTGGGGCCCAATCGGGCGGCCCCTACGATTTTCTTCAAAATTTGCACAGACACTCTCCTGGGCCCCCTCTTCAATCTGGCTGAAGAAACCTACCGGGGAATCCAAAGGAAGGGGCCCAAAGAGGGCCCCAAAGAGGCCCTTTCTAAGTATTGCCCCTAATTTCGCGACCGACCCCGGCAATATGCACATCATTGGAAAGAGCGTAATTTCCCAAACAAAAAACCCAAGTATCATTTTTCGATGGGGCCCAACTGGGGCCCACGGGACCCAATTGAAATTTGGGGCCCAATGGGGCGGCCCCTACGATTTTCTTCAAAATTTGCACAGACACTCTCCTGGGCCCCCTCTTCAATCTGGCTGAAGAAACCTACCGGGGAATCCAAAGGAAGGGGCCCAAAGAGGGCCCCAAAGAGGCCCTTTCTAAGTATTGCCCCTAATTTCGCGACCGACCCCGGCAATATGCACATCATTGGAAAGAGCGTAATTTCCCAAACAAAAAACCCAAGTAACATTATTCGATGGGGCCCACCTGGGGCCCACGGGACCCAATTGAAATTTGGGGCCCAATGGGGCGGCCCCTACGATTTTCTTCAAAATTTGCACAGACACTCTCCTGGGCCCCCTCTTCAATCTGGCTGAAGAAACCTACCGGGGAATCCAAAGGAAGGGGCCCAAAGAGGGCCCCAAAGAGGCCCTTTCTAAGTATTGCCCCTAATTTCGCGACCAACCCCGGCAATATGCACATCATTGGAAAGAGCGTAATTTCCCAAACAAAAAACCCAAGTAACATTTTTCGATGGGGCCCATCTGGGGCCCACGGGACCCAATTGAAATTTGGGGCACGATGGGGCGGCCCCTACGATTTTCTTCAAAATTTGCACAGACACTCTCCTGGGCCCCCTCTTCAATCTGGCTGAAGAAACCTACCGGGGAATCCAAAGGAAGGGGCCCAAAGAGGGCCCCAAAGAGGCCCTTTCTAAGTATTGCCCCTAATTTCGCGACCGACCCCGGCAATATGCACATCATTGGAAAGAGCGTAATTTCCCAAACAAAAAACCCAAGTATCATTTTTCGATGGGGCCCAACTGGGGCCCACGGGACCCAATTGAAATTTGGGGCCCAATGGGGCGGC